CCTCCCCTTCTTCAGCTTATGCGTCCCATATCTAATCTAAACTTCGTTTTGGGCTACGGTTCATATTCTTTTCTCCTAGAAAACAGCCAAACACGCTACAAATCTACAAAATTTGCCTAATTAACTCTTTTCTCTCAAAAACGTCTAATTTAAATAAATTTCATGCCACTTTGTGTTTAATTGGAGAGATTCTTTATGTGTTCTTTGGCTCAAGCATACTTTCTACAATTCTTCTCAGGAATGATGCAAGAAACAATTTACCTTCTTTGAAATGTTGTTCGGAGTTTTTGCTTCTAAAGAAATCTTCTGCTCCTCCCCATTTGCAGGCGGGATAATCTAAACACCAATTTTTTACTTATGACGGCAACATCTTTTAAAATCGTAAGTTAAATCAACCTCGTTAAACTCCTCCTCTGATATAATCAGCTCGGGTGGATCATAACAGTTGAAATCGCTTGTTGTTGGAAATGCCCAGCTAGGATTAGCTAAAAGCAAAATAACCAACTTCAGCTCATGCTGCAAATTCAAGAATTGCTAGAAAAAAGCTAACCAAAGTCTGAGCTCTTCTCTTCTCCAACGAATCGATGCCGTTTATTGGATATCTCGTTTAAACGCGAAGTGATTGCGCGTGAAATTGAATTCATTCACCTATCATTTTGAATTTATTAATCTAATTGAGTTCTGTTGATTATGAATGCGCCAACGAAACGTAAATATTGCAGTAGAAAAGAAAGATTGATTCTATGCAGAATTCGGGAAAATGTGGAAGTTTGAAATAATAATTCAAACAATTTTATCAGCGCAATTTCAACATGAATGATAAAAAAATTTTGGTGGAAATTCAAACCTTAGAGGAATTTGGTTGCTTCGCAATGTATGACGAAATAGGAACGCATTTACAGTGAAAACAAGGTCGATGGAAGAAGACACATTTCCAGAGCTTTAATGCAACTTAAACTACGAGAAAAACTGTCATAGACAAATGGAACTCTATCAAAGAAGAACGTTTTCTTTGGATGAGGAATGTGTAATAGGCTAAACAGAGAGAGTACAAGAAGAGGAGAAAAATGTAATGCCGGTGGTTTGAGAAGAAAAGAGTTGGTCTCATTTAGCTCGTTTCATTTTGACAAATGAACATGATGATGTCAAGGTGTAACGACACATGCATTTAGGCAAAAAGATGGGAACAAGGTAGTGTGGAAATTATTAACAAATTGTTAAATGAAATTTTTAAGGTGATAAAATGTAAGGAGATTTACTAGCTTATATTTATTGTAATCTTATTTCATATCCGACTTAAACTCTAGTCATATTGAAACAAGATAGGTAAATTGAGACGTAGAAGTCTAGTATTTAAGAAAAAATGAAGATTAATAAAAGAATAAGA